AATGGCAAACTACTGAAGGTAAAATTTGCCTAGAAAAATCCCAGCAGCTAACAATTCTGGGGATGGTTATGAAAAGTCCTGTAAAGGATACCCAACTATTGAACTCTCTCTCTCTCTCTCTCTCTCTCTCTCTCTCTCTCTCTCTCTCTCTCTCTCTCTCTCTCTCTCTCTCTCTCTCTTGAAAGGTTGTGGGTTAGACCCAGTTTGTAAATGTTTTTGCAGTGTTAAAAGCAGTGGCGTTCTTAAATATGCAACACGCGATATGAACGGATTGCGGAACACCCCCCACCCAGCAGTGTGCGAAGGTCAGTTGACTGGTTGCCGACCAGTCAGAGCGAGCTAGTCTGTACCATGGGGATACTATCGTGGATCATTAGCTCCCACCAGAACACGTAACCACCAAATCAACCCCCACCCCCCCCCCTTTTTTTTTTTTTTAACAATCAGTGGGCTAATAGAAAAGCCTGGTGACGTGATACGTATAATCCCGGCTAAAGGGGTGCGCGCTAGAGTCCAGCAATACGACAACGACGAGGACTGACTGAAAGGCTTTCTGCCCTTTTTGCCCTCACCCTTCCCTACCTCTTCCAGATGCACTACGAGTACAATTCCCCCACCCCATCCACCAGAGAGCACTTGAGTTCGGTACCCAACATTCCACAGCAATCCTCATCTCCGAATATTTGGATCTCAAAACGCGAGCTGGGTGCTCCGGGTATGTGGTATTAACGTACACCGGAGCCTAGCTACCAACTCAAACCGACACAACCGGATCACACTATAACAAATGACGAATAGAATAACTGTGAGACTCCACCTAACACTTCACACACATTTCTACGATATGACTAACACGTTCTTATTGCAGAAAGACGGCTTTAAGACCACTATGGTCACACGCGAAATACTTTCACATTTCGGATCTATCCAAAACCAAAAACTGTTTTCAGCACATTTTGGCAAAGTAAAAGGCTTAAAATTTTAAAACTATAAATAGTGGTCCAAAGGACCTTATGTATAGAGGCTCGTTCTCCTACGAAATACGTCTGGCCAAATCATAGAGAGATGAAACCAAGGAGAAAACATGTGGAAGGAAAAGGCAAGAAGAACACAGCTAACAACTGGGTAGAGAACCAGCGGTCTGAATCGAAGGAAGGAAGCATCAAGCCCAGAAACGGCGCAAACACTAACACATTAGACACGAAAGTGACGCAAAAAACCCAGACCATAGATATAGAAGAAAACTGTTAGCAGCTTCGACTAGCTGGAAGCAGTCTGAAAATGGTCAAACATTTTTTTTTTTTATTAAAAGGAATCGGAATTGGAAGCTCCCACCACCCCATCCTCTTAGTTCCCTTTGTCTCTCCCTTTTCAACCGAATTAATTGCACAGACAAGTAATAATGTATGAATGAGGGCGTGGATCTGGAGTTCTCTATTGTTTTCTTACCTAACTGTGGGTGAGTGGAGGGGGAGAGAAAATCTGAGCCGACATTCAATTTTTGCCTAGACTGAGCTCCTTCTCCAATGTTTTTTTTTTTTTTTTGTAGAGGAGGAGGGAGAGGGTAGCCTTGAGGCATCTCATTTGCTCAGCAGCAAGGTAACTACTGAATAATGTGGCTGACAATAATTATGCCGGAATATTTGTGGGACACTTGGAACTTTCAGTGGACCAGTGCTGGTGTGTGTCTAAGAGCTGAAGAACATTGCTTTACAGATCTTAAACGGACTGAAATGAGAGAACCCTTCCTAATAAGTCTTAGATAATCTAACAATTCCGGCAACTAGATGGTCAGAAACATCAAACATTAAACAACAGATGACGAAATAGCTAAAACCTAACTCGTTCTATTAACATCACATACAACTACGGTGCAAAAAAAAAAAAATAATAATAATATAGACTGTTAACGTGTCATTACGGATGACTGTATAGGTAACTGACTAATAGACTTTCTATCCTCCCCCCCCCCCCCTTTTTTTTTTTTTTTTTTTGAACAGCTGCCTGAAAGGTTGATAATTAAAGACTTAGTGAATCACCCCAGGTACCCAGTTCAATCCATGAGAAGTTATGATAACAACACAGGTAATGGACAAACCAGGTATTACAATGGTGTATTCTGTTGCTTTCAGCTGTCATTAAGAAATGGTCACTTGTGTTTGCCATAGGTTCATGAAACTGTGTAACATCTATATTGCTTTGGCCAGTCTCCCTTTGTCTTGATTTGAAACGTCCAAGTTATTATTACTTACAGAGCCAAGGTATCAGCAGTTTGTTTCAGTTTTTTTTTTTTTTTCCTTTGTTTCCATGGTTGTGTTTTGTTTTTAATAACACAAATGTATTGTAAACTGTTTCACATTTTCTTATTTGCCGTACAGTTTCTTTCTTCCAAGCCTTCAAGCCTATTGGCCATAGAGTTCTAGAGCTATATTTTATAGACAAATAGGCATTTGGTGGGTGATATAGTCAACTCAATATCACGCAGACCGCCTTTACTTCCCAGCACTTTACCTGGTGGCAGTCACCGTGGTGTAGCGGCTAGTACTTCCTGGTATATTACCTGGTGGCAGTCACCGTGGTGTAGCGGCTAGTACTTCCTGGTATATTCCTTGGTGGCAGTCACCGTGGTGTAGCCGCTAGTACTCCCTAGTATATTACCTGGTAGCAGTCACCGTGGTGTAGCGGCTAGTACTTCCTAGTATATTACCTGGTGACAGTCACCATGGTGTAGCGGCTAGTACTTCCTAGTATATTACCTGGTGGCAGTCACCGTGGTGTAGCGGCTAGTACTTCCTAGTATATTACCGGGTGGCAGTCACCGTGATGTAGCGGCTAGTACTTCCTAGTATATTACCTGGTGGCAGTCACCGTGGTGTAGCGGCTAGTACTTCCTAGTATATTACCTGGTGGCAGTCACCGTGGTGTAGCGGCTAGTACTTCCTAGTATATTACCTGGTGGCAGTCACCGTGGTGTAGCGGCTAGTACTTCCTAGTATATTACCGGGTGGCAGTCACCGTGATGTAGCGGCTAGTACTTCCTAGTATATTACCGGGTGGCAGTCACCGTGATGTAGCGGCTAGTACTTCCTAGTATATTACCGGGTGGCAGTCACCGTGATGTAGCGGCTAGTACTTCCTAGTATATTACCTGGTGGCAGTCACCGTGGTGTAGCGGCTAGTACTTCCTAGTATATTACCTGGTGGCAGTCACCGTGGTGTAGCGGCTAGTACTTCCTAGTATATTACCGGGTGGCAGTCACCGTGATGTAGCGGCTAGTACTTCCTAGTATATTACCGGGTGGCAGTCACCGTGATGTAGCGGCTAGTACTTCCTAGTATATTACCTGGTGGCAGTCACCGTGGTGTAGCGGCTAGTACTTCCTAGTATATTACCTGGTGGCAGTCACCGTGGTGTAGCGGCTAGTACTTCCTAGTATATTACCGGGTGGCAGTCACCGTGATGTAGCGGCTAGTACTTCCTAGTATATTACCTGGTGGCAGTCACCGTGGTGTAGCGGCTAGTACTTCCTAGTATATTACCTGGTGGCAGTCACCGTGGTGTAGCGGCTAGTACTTCCTGGTATATTACCTGGTGGCAGTCACCGTGGTGTAGCGGCTAGTACTTCCTAGTATATTACCTGGTGGCAGTCACCGTGGTGTAGCGGCTAGTACTTCCTAGTATATTACCTGGTGGCAGTCACCGTGGTGTAGCGGCTAGTACTTCCTGGTATATTCCCTGGTGGCAGTCACCGTGGTGTAGCGGCTAGTACTTCCTGGTTTATTCCCTGGTGGCAGTCACCGTGGTGTAGCGGCTAGTACTTCCTGGTATACTCCCTGGTGGCAGTCACCGTGGTGTAGCGGCTAGTACTTCCTAGAATATTACCTGGTGGCAGTCACCGTGGTGTAGCGGCTAGTACTTCCTGGTATACTCCCTGGTGGCAGTCACCGTGGTGTAGCGGCTAGTACTTCCTAGTATATTACCTGGTGGCAGTCACCGTGGTGTATGGCTAGTACTTCCTGGTATATTACCTGGTGGCAGTCACCGTGGTGTAGCGGCTAGTACTTCCTGGTATATTACCTGGTGGCAGTCACCGTGGTGTAGCGGCTAGTACTTCCTGGTATACTCCCTGGTGGCAGTCACCGTGGTGTAGCGGCTAGTACTTCCTAGAATATTACCTGGTGGCAGTCACCGTGGTGTAGCGGCTAGTACTTCCTAGAATATTACCTGGTGGCAGTCACCGTGGTGTAGCGGCTAGTACTTCCTAGAATATTACCTGGTGGCAGTCACCGTGGTGTATGGCTAGTACTTCCTGGTATATTACCTGGTGGCAGTCACCGTGGTGTAGCGGCTAGTACTTCCTGGTATATTACCTGGTTTCAGTCACAGTGGTGTAGCGGCTAGTACTTCCTGGTATATTCCCTGGTAGCAGTCACCGTGGTGTAGCGGCTAGTACTTCCCTGGTGCCCATTTTAGGCTGGGTCGACCTGAGACTCAAGGTCCACGTTAAAAATATTCACCTCTATGAGGATTCGAAACCATGACCTTGGAGCCGACATTCGAGTATCTAGCTACTTCACTATATCGGTTACTGGAGTCGCCGTGCCGGAGCAGCTAGGAAGTCGTGGGTTCACTGCCTGGCAAAGCTGGACTTTTTTCAAATATAACCTTGGCTCCCCGGTCGACCCAACTTTGAGTGGGTACCGGATGCAGTCACGGGAAGTAAAGGCGGGTGGCGTGATGCTAACCACATCACCCATCTTGTGCGGATTGGTCTATAAACGATAGGTGTAGCCCTATATGCCCTATACGCCTAAAGGCGTGGAAGAGAGTCTTCTACCTTAAAAATATTGGTTACAAAATGCTTGCAGTAAAACTATTCAGATTCGTATGGTTTATAATTTACATAGGAACATTTTCGTGCTGCTCAGTGTTTCACTTTTCTGTAGTTATGTCTTGGCGCCTTCAAGTTTAGGTAAGTATTATTTCTGGGAATACATACCGTCAACTCGAGTTCCTCACTGCCTTCATTCTTCACATGAAAGGGCCACCAGCCCTTGACTCGTCGGTGTTTGAAGAGTGATATTTGAGGCACAGAGTCGTCAGTCTTCAGCATGTCCAGGGTACACAACTTAGAGGATTTAGCCCCCCTGGGGAAGCGGTTCAAATCCAATGTAAGAGAACCTGCGACACAGAAATATTATTAGTGTAAGTCAGCCTGCACAAAATATAGAAAGAAAAAAACGGAAGATCTGGCCAGTGATATGACTGTCAATACATTTGAAATAATTAATGAGGTGGGTCTATTTGACGGACAGGAGATTACGATGAGGTGTACTGTGAGCATTTTATGTAGGTCACTGTTAACACCAGAAATCTGGAAAAGGCCGCGGCTGATTAAATCAATCCTGATTCTCCTTTTTCTTCAGCGCTGCGTCTTTTCTGCTATGCCATAAACAGGACGGTGCGCTGGAGGTCTTCATCGCTGTCCCAAAGTATGGTAGGGTCGTTTCCTTGGGTCAGTAGAGCATGCAGGACTTCTGATGTACTTCCACGTAGTGTAGCATGGATATACGTAACTTGTCTAAAGATGGCTACTAAAGTGTTAGAGAATTTAGAAACTGGTAGTTTCAAAGATACAGTGTGCAAAAACAAATAACATTAGAATCATAAAACATGCTATGAAACTTATCAATTTAAGTAGCCTCTGTATCACTGTAGCTAGATGCTTGCCCTACCGGCCAAAGCTATTATGTTCGAAACCGCATAAAAGCTACTATGAATAAAAAGGACCTTGATTCTCAGGTTCACTCAGTCTTAAATTAGTACCTGGCAATGTCGAATGGCGGCCCATGTAATGTGGACAACACTGAGGGCTGACTGGTCTGCTAAATATGGGTCTAACATGTCAGATATAAAAACGTCATTTACTCACTTTATTACTGATCAATTCATTCTTAGATCTTGGGCTAGACAATTGAGTAGAATCACGGACTGTGCTTTAGCAATCACTATGCTGAAGTCAGAGACAGTTAGCCAGAAGTCATAGAGCAACGACAAGATTGCTATACAAAGTCCTAACAGAGGGCATGGGCGGCAGAACCTGGAGCTCTGGCAGCGTTCCTCCTTTACACCCTCACCCTAAATATTTTGGGGGACTGAGTTTTGCCCCCACTCTCCTTTTCCCTGTTCCACATAATCCTCAAAAAAGTCAGTAGTTCCCCCCCCCCCACCACCCCCACACACACCAAACCCCACACCCAGTTATGTTCTCCTTCCGTTTGACCCACCTAGAAAATATATTAATTATTATTATTTCACTTTAAAAAGTCTTACGCCTCTTTATGTCACAGCCTTAGAAAATTCTAATGAGCAAAGCTACCATACCCAAATGATTTTACTGTGGTGGCACCACTGATAGAATGTGCATGTATCTGCAGGCATTGACGCATCTTCCAGAGTCTGCATAAGCAACCTGCACGTGATCAGCTAAACAGAGGAGAGCAGTGCTCACCCAGAAAGTCGTCGGCTGAGAAGTGGTCGGCGTCCCAAACTTGCAAGTTGAGTCTGGCAGGAATTTTCGACTCAGTTTCGTCCCAGGAGAACATTGTCTCTTTTCTGGAGATAACGATCTTCTCCTCCGCCACCAGATAATCAAAGGGAAAGACAAATCTCCAGTTAAAATTACCCTCTCCTGTTAGTGACCTGTGAAATGATGTAGAAACAAACGATGTCAGTTTCTACCCATAGCTATCTTGTATCTACCATATAGATTCTTTTAGAAATCAGCATACTGGAAGAAAAGGTTGACCACTTACATATAAGGACATTTACTGCTACTTATTTGGGACCTATGATCCCTGGGCACTTGGGAATCTATACGTGCACTTGCAACACCTGGCCTGTATGTGAAGTCTATAATCCCTGGAACATCCGGCCTGTATGTGAAATCTAGGATCCCTAGGCACTTGTAACATCCGGCCTGTGGAGTCTATCCCTGGCCACTTGTAACATCCGGCCTGTATGTGAAGTATATGTCCCTGGACACTTGTAACATCCGGCCTGTATGTGGAGTCTATGATCCCTGGGCACTTGTAACATCCGGCCTGTATGTGGAGTCTTTCTCTTCTTTTTCTTAGCTTAAGCTGTAAACTCCGGCGGAAGTTCTAGTTGTTCGTCCACTTCAAAACTTTATACTTCTTTTAGAACTTGAGTTTTCGTGCACATCCGCTTTACAGATCTGGTTTATTTGCATGCAGACTATCCGTTCTTTATCTCTCAGACAAAAGCACTCCGACTTCGAAGGAAAAAAAAATCCTAACTATTTGCCTGTTACGACATGTTGCTAGGGCAGCAGTAGATCTATTCTTTTGTCTCGATAATAGGAACCCGAAACCCAGGTAGAGAGATGTGGATTCAAACCTCAGACCTTAGGCCGGCAGGCACGAGTATAATAGTTTAGGCGGATCTCAAAATGAGCGACTTGTGGCTCGAAGGCGGGTGAATGCGTTTCACAACTGCATTATTCTAGAGTACTATTGTTTTAATCCGTTAGGTTTTTCTTTTTCGACACACGGTCCAAAAAAAAAAAAAAAATTGTCATTTTCGGACAGTGTACGATAGTCACACCGTGAAAGAGACTGGAGCCTCACTACCGTCATATTCATAAAGACAGCAATGGGTGCACCCAAGCCACCCTTGATAGTAGAGATGGTGTACACATTCGTCTTTAGTTTCAAAACGCGGGTGGCGAGCTTCACTTCACTTGACTTCAGTTCACCCCCAGCGTCAATACAACATGTGTTGCAAGTTTCCTGTAAGGAATAAATGATTATAACAATGTGCGTCCTTGTGGGATCTTTCATTGCCAGACGTGGCCCGACAATCCAAACATGTGAGCTAAAGATACATGATCAATATTTGTTAAAAATGACACAGTTCAACTCCTGCTGGACTGCACGAGTCTTCCTCGTGTTGTGATACCAAACAACAGCCAGTGCAGTAACACTGACTGCACTGGAATAGGGCAAAGAGAAAATCTGTTCCCCTGGGTGAACTTTGAATGAATGTAGCTACACAGAGCAGACAGACTTCGGCAAATAACAGAGACAGCTGGATGATCAACGTGTGATGCTCCTGATTCAACAAAGTTGTCATTACTAGAGAAGACGTGGAAGGTGTCGGACTACACGCTTGCTCTCCACAAGATAAACAACAGAGTGGGGCCTTGGTCACATGGCGGCAATGAGAGAAAGTGGCTCAGATAACATTTTGTTAAAGATATGGTAGCAAATGTCTTAGATCATATTACGTTACTGACATGGTAGCAAATGTCTTAGATGACATTACGTCATTGACATGGTAGGAAATGTCTTAGACCACATAGTGTCACTGACATGGTAGCAAATGTCCTTTATCACATAGAGTCACTGACATGGTAGCAAATGTCTGAGATCACATGGCGTCACCGACATGTCAGCAAATGTCTTAGATCACATTGCGTCACTGACATTGTGGCAAATGTCTTAGATCACTTAGCGTCACTGATATGGTAGCAAATGTCTTCGATCACATAGTGTCACTGACATGGTAGCAAATGTCCTTTATCACATAACGTCACTGACATGGTAGCAAATGTCTTATATCATATAACGTCACTGACATGGTAGCAAATGTCTTATATCACATAGCGTAACTGACATGGTAGCAAATGTCTTATATCACATAGCGTCACTGACATGGTAGCAAATGTCTTATATCACATAGCGTCACTGACATGGTAGCAAATGTCTTATATCACATAGCGTCACTGACATGGTAGCAAATGTCTTATATCACATAGCGTCACTGACATGGTAGCAAACGTCTTATATCACATAGCGTCACTGACATGGTAGCAAATGTCTTATATCACATAGCGTCACTGACATGATAGCAAATGTCTTAGATCACATAGCGTCACTGACATGGTAGCAAATGTCTTATATCACATAGCGTCACTGACATGGTAGCAAATGTCCTTTATCACATAGCTTCACTGACATGGTAGCAAATGTCTGAGATCACATGGCGTCACCGACATGTCAGCAAATGTCTTAGATCACATAGCGTCACTGACATTGTGGCAAATGTCTTAGATCACATAGCGTCACTGATATGGTAGTAAATGTCTTAGATCACATAGTGTCACTGAGATGGTAGCAAATGTCTTAGATCACATAGCGTCACTGACATAGCAGCAAATGTCTTAGATCATTTAGCGTTTCTGACATGGTACCAAATGTCTTAGATCACATAGCGTCACTGACATGGCGGCAAATGTCTTAGATCTCATTGCGTTTCTGACATGGTACCAAATGTCTTAGATCACATAGCGTCACTGACATGGCGGCAAATGTCTTAGATCACAAAGCGTCACTGACATTGTAGCAAATGTCTTAGATCACATAGCGTCACTGACATGGCAGCAAATGTCTTAGATCACATAGCGTCACTGATATTGTAGCTAATGTCTTAGATCACATAGCGTCACTGACATGGTAGCAAACGTCTTAGATCACATAGCGTCACTGACATGGTAGCAAATGTCTTAGATCACATAGCGTCACTGATATTGTAGCTATTGTCTTAGATCACATAGCGTCACTAACATGGTAGCAAATGTCTTCGATCACATAGTGTCACTGACATGGTAGCAAATGTCTTAGATCACATAGTGTCACTGAGATGGTAGCAAATGTCTTAGATCACACAGCGTCACTGACATAGCAGCAAATGTCTTAGATCATTTAGCGTGTCTGACATGGTACCAAATGTCTTAGATCACATAGCGTCACTGACATGGCGGCAAATGTCTTAGATCACATTGCGTTTCTGACATGGTACCAAATGTCTTAGATCACATAGCGTCACTGACATGGCGGCAAATGTCTTAGATCACAAAGCGTCACTGACATTGTAGCAAATGTCTTAGATCACATAGCGTCACTGACATGGTAGCAAATGTCTTAGATCACATAGCGTCACTGATATTGTAGCTAATGTCTTAAATCACATAGCGTCACTGACATGGTAGCAAATGTCTTAGATCACATAGCATCACTGACATGGTAGCAAATGTCTTAGATCACATAGCGTCACTGTTATTGTAGCTATGGTCTTAGATCACATAGTGTCACTGACATGGTAGCAAATGTCCTTTATCACATAGCGTCACTGACATGGTATCTAATGTCTTAGATCACATAGCGTCACTGACATGGTAGCAAACGTCTTAGATCACATTGCGTCACTGATATGGAAGCAAATGTCTTAGATCACATAGCGTCACTGACATGGCGGCAAATGTCTTAGATCACATTAAGTTATTGACATGGCGTCACTGACATGGCGGCAAATGTCTTAGATCACATAGTGTTACTGACATGGCGGCAAATGTCTTAGATCACAACAGCACATGTTTATGTTCTTGGTCAGACACGGTTACTTAAATTAACACATGTTCTTTGTTAAATTCTGTCACTAGAATTAATAAATGTTATTAGTCAGACACGGTTACTTAAATTAACACATGTTCTTTGTTAAATTCTGTCACTAGAATTAATAAACGTTCTTGGACACATTCGTTGATGAAATTAGCATATGCTCTTGACTAGTCGTCCGCATGTGGGATGCAATTTTTCGTTTTTTTTTTTTTTTTTTGAAGCGACACCTTGACTTTTGCCGGGGGCCCTGAATATAGCCGGACCATAAATAGGTCCTAACGGCTAAAAAGGGCTTCTGGGACCTTTCCATTGGTGGTCCTCATCCGAATGGTGGCACTTTGTGTCACTGGGTGTTTATCGCTTGTTTACATGTCCTGGTGGGGTACAACAAGAGAGAGAGAGAGAGAGAGATGGGGAGGGGGTGAGAGAGACGGGGAGGGGGTGAGAGAGAGAGATGGGGGGGGGGTGGTGGAGAGAGCAAATGATCTAAGTCACATTCAGTTGCTGAAATTAGCAACGTTTATTCGGCAATATAGCGTACTTCACCCATTCATTTATAACAACATGTCTTCAGCACTGGTAATTGGTGAGATTGGTAAATATTAAATGAGAATAGGCACACACAAAAACAGTAAAAAGAACGTTCATGATATCGGCCCTCAATCAAACAAGTACGTGAATTCAAATATGTAGGAAGCATTTAAACGAAGGATGGCAGAAACGATAAGGAGATAGAAGCCAGAGTACATAAGGTAAATACTGTCACATACCAATTAGCTCTACTGCTTAGACACCCAAATGTCTCCCTTCCAGCAAAACAGTAAATTATTAATAGCATCTGCGTCCCTACTCTATTTTTCTCAGTGCCAAACATGGACAATCAATAGGGCACTCTAACAAAAAATGACTACATGTGAAATGCGCCGTCTCCGCAAGGTCACTAACAACACAAGAAGGGACAGAGCTACGAATACCAGCATTAAAGAGAAAGCTTGAATAAGACCATGTGTGGATTATACTGACAGACAAAGAATGACAAGTTTCGGTCATCTAGTGAGAATGCAGCCAGACCAAACTGTCTATGACTTTTTAACAGCAGAAGATCTGAGAGAAAGGCGAGGGAAGACCAATAAAGCGATGGATAACTGGTGTCGCTGAAACTTGCAAAAAGATGAACAAATCTAACACACAAGAAGCGCAAGACAAATACAGAAAACCACG